TTTCTCCCTGGATTTTCTTCACCACCTTTACTTTCTATTCTAAAGTTTCAATATGTATTGCTTATATATTTTTTATAAGTAAAATTCTTTATACAAGACACTAAGAAAACATATTTTACATTTTAAATATTTATTTATTTTTATTTTCCAAGTTAATCTAGATGTTATTTTCATCATACTATGCTATAATTTATTAAGATTTTTCTCTTATACTATGCCAGAAACGAACACTTTATTATACATCTTCCTTTGCTGAAACATGCAAAGATGCATTTTTAGTAATATTTATATATATATATATTTACTATTGCGTCAACAGAGTTGACTTGCATATTCTACTGTACATTTTATGTAAATATATTTTATTTTAGAAATTGTTTATAAGGAAAAAATGAAACAGAGACAAATCGATGTTATTCAGTATTCACAAGATACGTGTATATGAAGTAAGGATTGAATTAAAAAACGATGCTTTTAACTTCTTATATGTCACGTGTTAATGAGATCCTATCCTTTATTTTTCGAATACACATTAAAACATATAGCATAAACAATGTGTGTAATATTAAGTTAAAATTTGAAAGTAAAAATGAAAACAAATTTTCAAATGGAAAAACTTCTTTACAGTTTCTTCGCCCTATAGACTCATATATAAAAGATAAAAAACAGTTTTTATTCTACTACATTCATTTTTGGAAATAAAAATAAATCTAAAACTTGTGTTAGTTACAAAAGTTTAAATGCATAAAATGCTTTTATTTATTTTTTTCTTTAAAATAATTTAATTCTGTTATTCAACTGTTTATCTCTTATATTTTAAATTGATTGAAAATGTTACATACATCTATAATGAATTTTAAATATTTATGTTTACAATTATGTAAACAGATTGTTGTCTTGAAACTATAGTAACAAACAAATAATTCATGGTTTAAACGTTTTATAAATGTAATTTTTATTATTTTACAAATTGAATATTTTAATTTTATATTTTTAAATCGAAATCGAGTACTGTCTTAACTATATGAATAAATTAATTATGATAAAGTTAAAAAAAATACGTGTGTAAATTTATTTTAAAATTAAACAGTAAAGTACTTAATAAAAGTATAATTTTTTAATATCAATAATTCAACATAAAATTATCTAAAAAAAGTAAAAAGTTAAATATTGTAATTTTTCTATGATTCAGCTGGATGATATTTTCAAAGTTTGTAATCATAAGAATATTTCAAAAATATTCCTAACACCGTAACAGTGTTCTAGTCTTTTTAGATTTCTTTGGGCATAGTATTTTCACAAATGTACTTTTCAGCTATGAATTTCATCTACTTTGAAATGCACCTGTGAATTGAAGGCTGTTTTTGGCTCACCAAGACTTACAAAACTTACTTTCTTCACGCGTCACATTCAATCCTTCTATTTGTTATATTTCAAAAACGAAATAGAAAAATAAAGCTTTTTATTAGAAATAATCTTGATTTTTCTTTTCGATTTAAAAAATTTTCAATTTGTGTTCAAAAAACATTCGTTTCATTTGTTTCCTGTACGATCAATATTTCTCGTGATACAATAACGTATATATTTTCAATTGCTTTTATTAATATAAATACAGTCTCATATATAAAATAGAGGTGAATGATCCTATATATAGTCTATATAAGAGGGTTTTTCAAATAAATATTGCATTATATGTATTAAACATCCCTTGAACTTTCGCATTATATAAGATTTTACCGTGAAGATTACTTTAATCTAGCCTAGTGCCATAGAAAATTCACATAATAAATATCAGTTTTTTTCAGTAAAAAATCTGATCAATAGTATAAAGGATCAAATTATATAAAATGTAATTTAATTAAAATTATAAAAAATATTAAAATTTCTATATAAGAATATTTAAGTTGTTATGAAATAATAAAATACATTAAAAATATTATTATTAATTATTTATTTTGTTTTAAGATGAATAAAACTTACTTTTAATGAAAATTAATAAATTAAAAATTGATAAATATTATAAATAATTTTATTACTGATTAGTTTTGTTGTGATGAAAGTAAATAAAAATAGAAATGTGATTGAATAATTATTAAGTACCTCATTAAATAATCAAATAAATAAATTAAAACAAAGTAATAGAATTGAGTTTGTATTACGTAATTAGCCTTCATTAATATTGGTTTAATGTGAATTTATTTTCAATCTAAACTACTAATCATTCTTTCCATTTACTATTATAGAAATTAATTAACAATCCATTAGATTTAGAAAGTGTAAATATATATTTAAAAAATATTTCTCTAATTTAATGAAATGCCAATCTTAAATTATTTTTATAATTAATCCTTTGTAATTTTGTTAGAAGTTTTTATCAGATTTTTTAATTTTATGTGTTCAATTAATTTTTTCCATTTGTAAAAAAGAAAGAAGCAAAAAGAAAAAGTTATTGCCAATTAAATACTTTTTTATTACTATCTGAAAATCTGTTAATCTCTTGTATGAAATATTAAATATTCATAAAAATAAATTAATAAAGCATAGAAGTTGTTTTTTTTTTACTTCTGTATTATTTTTTAGATGAAGAAATATTGCGAATAACAACAAAAACTACAAGGTATGGTTTTTGTTGTAACCACAAAATTACTAACAGCTTTACTTTATGAGGTCTTCTAAGGCTTTCAAGGCTCTAACCAATCTGATAACTTTTCCCCTGGTTATACTTGGGTGTGCAGGTTTCTTTTAAGCTTTCTGCATTGTTGTGTATACCACTGCAAAATATCCACAATGGGATTGTTGGACATTGCAATACTGTTCGTCTTATAAGTGACCAGAGTTTCGCGGTACAACTTGATAGTTATAACAGATAATAGCATCTTAGAAAAGCCATTTTTCGTTGTTTTGAAGTATACGGATTTCTAAGCACGATAAATTGAGCAAAGAAGTAGGCCAAGTGTCTGGAGAAAGAACACCACGCAGAAGACATGAAAGAGTCATTATTCCCATGAGTCTAAGAACAGATATTACCGTAAACTTGCAGACAGTAAACTAAGCGGTATAGCAAAGTATCAAAATGTGATGTGAATTCTAGAAACAAAAGTTTTAAGAGTATTAGGTTTTACCATTAATACAAATTATAAATCTTTTTGAATAATAAATTATTGATTGTATTTCAAGTTTAATCAGAGAAATCTTAAATAATACATTTTATTACTTGTCTTAAAGTAAATTTTATTTTTGAAAATTATTTTACATTCAAAATTATAAAAATATAAGCTTAAGTTCATTATTCCTGTTAATTAATTAATTATATTTTATATATTTATAATAAATAAATAACTAAAGTGTGTTTCAAAAACACACAATTTAATTAATTATTTTAAATACCTTTTAAAACTTTCATTAATTTGATGCAGTAATTTTTAAAATATATTACAAAAAGTAAATAAATAAGCAATTATTCGCGAAAGTACATTTCTATTTTATTTATTTTGAAAGAAAGATAACCATTTAATCATGTAATAAAATATTTTTAAGTATTGAACATTTTTATTTACAAAATTTTATTATTTTATAATAAAATGCGAAACGTAAAATAATTAAATATACAATTAAATGACATAAAATGAAATGATTTAATGATACAAGAGGAGATTTATAGAACAAAGAACGAATGAAACACAATATCGGACAGCATTCTCTAGATTGTATTATGAGACACATTCTTTTATGTTCATATATTACCGAGAAGAGATCTTGATTTATTGATAAAATAACAATATACGAACCTATAATATGAGAAATGCAATCAGTCAGAAATGTAATTTTCTTATAAGTACTACCTTACATGGACACAATTTGTTTTTTATTACTAATTTCGATATATAAATCTTAATCTTAACTAAAAATATGGATAAAGTAATAATTAAATTGCAATAAAATATGATAAAGTTTTCCATATCTTGAAAAATTTTCGTTACTTAAATATACGGTCTTTTAAAGTGATATAATACATTTATAAGGCTATTTAAATTATTAAATCATTCTTATTTCAGTATAAATATTTAAAGATTTATTTTAATATTTAACTTTCATATTCGTTAATAGTTTATATAATACAAAAAATTTTATCTGAATAATTTTAATGTAAATTTTCAGTTTAGTATAATAANAAGTTCAGTTAAATTCTATTGTCACGATAATATTTATCATTTATATGAATTTATTCTTTGCAGTAAATAATTATTTATATTCCTTAAAAAATTTATTTAAATTTAAAAATTTGCTTAAAGAAATATAAAAATTTCTATATCTAAGTAAATTTATTGAAATATGTTAGAATTCTTATCGCAATTCTTTACGAAATTAACGATTTTTCATAAATCTAACACAAAATATTCTATAATTATATTCAGAGTGAAACTTATATTGTTAAGTAAAGACCATCTCTTACGCCGAACATAAAAAATAGCCATTAGTTAATACTAGAGAAATATTCTAAAGTCAACATCGGCACAACACCCTCATATTAACAAGTATAATGCTGAAATTTGCATTTGTTTAATATGAATATCATGTCGAGTAGTTATGTAGACTTAACATGTGAAATAATGCATTCAACTTGACTTAACCTTATTATTTTCTATTTTTGCCAGTAAACTTGAAGGTAACGAAAGAATATATAATTAGATTATGTATAAATGTAACTCACTTTAAAATACATTATCTTATAGCTTTATTTTGGTACGACACGTAGATCATTCCTTGGCAAATAAAATTAAGTAGAAAAGTGTATGAAATGTGAAACGAATTCAGAAAAAAAATCGGATTTTAAAATATCTTTTCAAAATACGATAACTTAAAATAAGTGAAGATAATATCGCAAATCTTACAGTCTGAAAAACGTTATTTGATTTTGGTAACGTGCTATAAGAAATTTTATAAGTTTAGTTTTTCATATGCATTCAGTACATTTTATAAAATAATATTTACTATTTCAGATGTGACTGTGTCAGTATTGGGTGTAGCTGGTAAAAGAGCAGCATTACCTTGCAACATTTCACCCCCAGCTCCGGATGATGATGTAGCTCTAGTATTATGGTATAAAGACGATGCCACCAATCCCCTGTACAGTTTGGATGCTCGAAGAGGAAATCTCGCCCAGGCACGACACTCAGCTACTGGGGATATAGCTTCTCGAATCCATTTGATCACCACCCCCAGGCCAGCGGTGCTTCAGATTACTGATCTTAGTATTGTCGATGAAGGAGAATATCGTTGCAGAGTAGATTTTCGAAAAGCGAGATCTAGAAATTCTGTTATTATTTTAAATGTTATAGGTAGGTTTCATAATCCAATTTTATACTTTTAAACGTTTAATTTCTTAATACATTTAATACCGTTACTATTTATTTAATACCAGTGTTGTTAACTTCATATACTTGTTTCTAAGCACCATTCAGCATTTTGCTTAATGTAAGGAAACTTTTAATTACAAGCAGGAAATTTACTTTACACATAGACAATCACACTCATTACATAAACAGCGATACTCGAATTAACTCAAGCAGCACAAATCTCTCGCGTGCAATTTTCTTGAAATTATCTGTATTTTGTAACCGTGTAGTTTTATTAAATTAATGGATGATCGACAGTTTTATATTATACAACAAATACATAAAGAAAATATAATCAGTAAAACATTAATTTATTTTACGATGTTGTAAAAGTATTGGATCTAAAAATGACTATTTTGAAAGAAAGATAACCATTTAATCATGTAATAAAATATTTTTAAGTATTGAACATTTTTATTTACAAAATTTTATTATTTTATAATAAAATGCGAAACGTAAAATAATTAAATATACAATTAAATGACATAAAATGAAATGATTTAATGATACAAGAGGAGATTTATAGAACAAAGAACGAATGAAACACAATATCGGACAGCATTCTCTAGATTGTATTATGAGACACATTCTTTTATGTTCATATATTACCGAGAAGAGATCTTGATTTATTGATAAAATAACAATATACGAACCTATAATATGAGAAATGCAATCAGTCAGAAATGTAATTTTCTTATAAGTACTACCTTACATGGACACAATTTGTTTTTTATTACTAATTTCGATATATAAATCTTAATCTTAACTAAAAATATGGATAAAGTAATAATTAAATTGCAATAAAATATGATAAAGTTTTCCATATCTTGAAAAATTTTCGTTACTTAAATATACGGTCTTTTAAAGTGATATAATACATTTATAAGGCTATTTAAATTATTAAATCATTCTTATTTCAGTATAAATATTTAAAGATTTATTTTAATATTTAACTTTCATATTCGTTAATAGTTTATATAATACAAAAAATTTTATCTGAATAATTTTAATGTAAATTTTCAGTTTAGTATAATAANGAAGTAATATTTTAAAGGTTATTATTAATATAGACTTTGACATAAATTTATTTATTGTTACAGTTTTACCAAAAAAACCAATAATAAAAGACAGCAAAGGGGAATTGCTAGAAAACCAAATAGGGCCTTATAAGGAGCGTGACTCGTTGTTGTTGATATGTGAAGTAGAAGGAGGTAAGTTCTGTAATAAATATTACGAAATAATGTAAAAAATATAAGTTAATTTGAGTAAAATTTATGATGCAATTACTTATCATGATATTTGTCTTAAAATCAAGGAGAAATTTAAAAAAAATGAATTCGTTATTATTCTGCCTTTTATAATAATTATGAACTAATAAAAAAATATATTTGTTAATAATTATTATACTGTCAAACTTGATATTAAATTTGTTTAATATAATTTTTCATTAAACATATTCAAAGTAATCAATCATCCTTAACTGACAACCTGTTTGAATTAAATATACAATGCGAACAAAATTAACAATACATATCTAATAAAAATTTTGAAACATGATATTAAGAATTTAAATTATTCAATCGTTTTTGAAAGTGCATATTTTTTAAAATTTTACTTATAAAATTGCTTATTTTTATTTACAAAGATTTAATAAAAACACTAAATAAGTTAATCACTCATGGGAATTTTTTTTTCACTACGAAAACATTTGAAAGTTCTTTAAAATGAATTTTGACATTATATAATATAATATTTCTCATTAGATTGATTTTAATAATTGTATTTAATTAGTTTTCCCACTTTTCTTTAATATAAATTTTAAATTTATGATAAAATAAATTCTTTACGTCAATAGATATTTTTAAAAATGTTACCGACGTTAGTTGTGGTATTTTAACCTGATCTTCTCTATGGGATTTTTGCAGTTCTTCTATCATCAAAATGATACGAAAAAGAAATAAATTTTATAGCACTCTTTAGAAATTTAATGAACCAGCATCATAACGACCACACTAGTGCTATAGTTCAGTTAAAAAATACGGTTAATGTGAGAAAATGGATGAACCGTGAACATAAATCCTTTCTTAGTGGGTTCCATTACCTAAAAGTGTTTTGTGATAATAAAAAAATATTAATTGTAATTCATGAGATATTAAGTAGGGGTCAATAAAGAGAATTTTTAAAAATCACATTTAACAATAAATTTTATTCTGTGATGTAGTAATTATATGGATTAATATACTCATTAAAACAGGTAAACCCCAACCGATTGTAACATGGTGGAGAGAAAATGTATTAACTGATGACACTTACGAAGCTACTTCTAATACTGTGGTGCGAAATGAGCTGGAAATACATGCTCTTGAACGAAAAGATTTGATGACTACATTTACATGTCAGGCTACTAACAGTAATCTTTCTACCCCTGTAAATAGCACTGTCACTATTGACATGCATTGTAAGTACATGTTTTGTGTTCTAATTTTCCCTGTTCTTATAGGCTATACTTTTACATTATTTTATTGTCTTTTAAGTAAAAAGACTATTTAAATGTTGTTTATGCTAATATTAACATTTACTTAGTTTCTGTAACTTTTTAGCAAATTTATCAGATTGACATCAACTATGAACTTGTCATACGTTCACTCTTATACCGAGCACATGATCGATTAGTTCACTGTCAGTGAAAGAAATTTTATGACCTAATTTCACCATCTAACTCTATTGGATTACTAAAATTAACGACATGACAGTGATAATACAGCATAGTTATGGGTTACCTATCCTATTTATAAATTGTGATGCAGATAATGTAAATATAATTTTCAAGTTTCAAGATTGCTTTGATGTTCGATTATCGTTCGATTAGTAAAAATATTTTACTTAATTTAGATCAAACTAATCATAATTTAACTTGTATACTTCAAATCTAAACTTGTACACAGTATTTCGAACTTTATTTTGAAATTATTATCATCAATACTAATAATAGTAATTTATTGATTCATTGAATGTAAGTCTGTTGCTTGAGGATATATAGAAATGTGTAATTTAGAAATTAAACAATACTTTAGTATCAATGTAAACTAATCGTTATCTTCACGTATCGATAATAAACTTCTATTTATTTATTTTTAAGCATTTATGTCTAAACTTATATTCTCGTATAATTTAAAGACTAAATAATTAAACTTCAATTTGAAAAAATTGTAGACTTATAAATTCCCATTGTCATCTGTTTGTCTGTCCGTCCATCTGTCTTTCCTTAATCTCGAGAATGAAGTTACATAGATGAAAGCCGAGACCAGATATGGAAAGATCGGGGGCAAGAGTGAGGTCTCGATTAATTATATATGAACTTCCGGTGAAAACAGGAAGTCATATATAATTAATATGTTATTTTAATTCAAAAGTTTAATATAATTAAAGTCGCGTTATTTCAATTCAAAAATTTTTCGCTGAAAGGGGTTAGATAGATGACCGGCATGATTCCGTTCCTCGCAGGAAAAGTATAATATACAGGGACAAACACTACTGATATGAGGTGAAAAGCTTAGGCCTACATTTTAAACTTAAAAAAATTATTAAAAATATGATTTGAAAACTTGCATTATGACGACGATCTCACAATAAATACATTAATTGTTTGTTAATTTAAATACTTTAAATTGTTTTTAACGCTTAAAATTATAATTTATTTCATAAAGAATTATATTTATACAGTAAAACTATTTTAAAATGTATTTCAGGTAATTAGAAATAATTATATTATATAAAATATGAATAAAAATCAACTTTCAATTATTCTGTACTAATAAATTTCTTAGTTATCAATAAGTTAATATCAAACTTACTCAAACGATTAAAATTTATACTTATTTCTAAGAATAAATATTAAGTTTCTAAGATTTTAAATTATATTCTATCCAAATATCTTTATGTCAACTTTAACAAACTAATAGCAAAATATGCAAAATGATTATTGTCTTTTATGTGTAACTGTAGAATGCGTTGCACATTCCAAAACTTCATAACACTCTGGAATTAACTATAACTACCAACTCTTAGCAAAATTGACTAGTAATAGCATCATTTAGGTTGGAGGTCACATTAACTCGTTAAAATGATTTTATATTATTTTCTAATAATATTTAAATTAAAAAATATTGTTAACATAAATGATGCGATTTACAAATACATACTACACATTTATTTTTGTTTTTATATTAATTAAATTTCAAAACTGATTTTTTATTTGATAAATAAGTAATATTATGATATAAATTTCTAGTATTAAGAATGAAATGTCTATATTAATAATTTTAAATAAATTCATTTGGCTGTGGGCTGTTACACGTTTTGCATTAACGAAGATTGATTAATGTGAGTAATGATATGATAATCAAATATGGAAACAAACGTCTATTTATCTAATTGGCAAGCTCTTTGTTGCCTTTTGGATAATTACATTCTTTTATTTATCTTCAATTTTATATTTGTCGATAGTTGCTTTTTGACAAAGAAACTTTATTAAAAGATTCTTAATTACACATCATTAAATCAGTATCGTAAACATTAAAAATGTAATATTCTTTTGACACCAATTCTTATCTATTGAATATTATTTTTATCTGATAAAATAAAAGTTCTTTGAAAATTGTCTACGTTATTGCTTTTCTTAAATATTTGCTATTCAACCTTTGTCATTGATAATAAATGGATGGATTGAAAAACTTCCTATAGGATCGATTTACTCTAGCATCCATATATTTACAGGAATGTCTGAAAAGATCTAGAAAAAGAAATAAAGTAGTTGCTGTGAGATAAGTGAAAAATTCCATATGTTGCACATTGCAATTGGCTTCTTTTACTTTTCTAAACTTTATTATTGGATGCAACAGGAAATAGTAGAAGGTGATAAAAATCCATGGAAATTCTTTTTTCTATATTTTCGATGCTTTGCGTGTGTCTTTGTGAACAAGATTGCTTGGCATCAGTCCACTCCGCTGCTATCACAGACATAGAATTGCTTGCCGTCCAAGCTTGTCTCTTAAAGCGTAGTAATACTCTCGTTCGTGATATATTACTCTAGAATATAGCAATTCCAATGTATTTTCCATTTTAAATGCACAATATTTACAAACATTTCAACGCTAAATTCTTTGTAAATAACAATTATTTAAATGTTATACAAATTGAAACGTTCAAATTACTAATCGTTTCATATAAAAATAAAAATGTTAAGATTGATTGTGTATAGTTAACTTTTATATTTAAGAAGTTTATTTACTTGCCAATCTCTTAGAGATAAATGATTTTCTATATTGACCATGTCATTACTCATAGTAGACTATGTTGTATTATATATTTTCAATCATGAATGTTACTTCAATAATGGTTACCTAGGTAGAGAAATAGTCTATCTACATTTCTCTTTCTGTTCTATAGAATTTGGAAAACAATTTTTAAGTAAAATAGCAATTTAAGGAAAATGTCTATTTTTCTTTAACTTATAAAAATGCATTTACTAGAGTACTCTTATATCCGTGAAAACGTGACCATCAAAAATGTTTCCAGATAAACAAAGCTATTGATTTACAGTGCTTTCCATTTATTTCCTGTTTTGTTCTTCCAATGATTGTAGCTGCTTTTCTTAGAGAATAGTGGATGTTATTGCTTCTTACAAAATGATCAGTTAAAGCATTTCCGATCTTTTTTTGAGAAAGTGGTTTTTACATTCAACTTTGAAAAATATTGCGTGAATGTCCTAAGATAGTAGATAATATAGGATTTATATTTTGAAATAATTCTTACAATGGATTTAGAGGATAATAATAGAATAAATTGCATTGAAAGGGATAAATTTCTACTGTATACAATGTATATAACACTATTTTAACGCCTTTTTTTCATTTTTAGAAGAATAAGTTAATATACTATAAATTATTTTTCCAAATATAATATATTTATCTATTTTTTCACAGCAAGAATTTTATTTGTCAAACTAATGTATTTACTTATTATAAATGATATAGTATATATACGCACTACATTAAAAATACAAACATACAAGTAATGCTTCTATACAGCTTTTATCTTTAATTAAGTTTTTCTATGTCATTAAAACATACATTTTTAAAATAATTTAAATTTTGAAGTAGTAAATCAAATAAAATATTTGGGAATATACTTTAACTGGAACGGCCAATTTCAATACCATTTAAATTATCTTACTAGTAAAATTAATCAACTTATAAATAATGTTATTTATTTATCATCTAAGCTAAGGATTTCCAACCTAAAAATTCATTTGAAAATGTTTCATTCATTTATTGCTCCAGTATTTTTTTATGCCAGTCCTGTTTGGGCATTAGACTATTATAAATATTTGGAAAAATTCCATATCATTTTTCTGCGTAAAGTACTTCATATTGAACGCACGGTTCCAGGTTATGCAATTAGATCAGAGACTAATAGATTCCAACTTTTTCCATTTTTTTTGAAACGTTTATTCAAATTTTATCTTCGCATATTAAATACTGATGACGATAATATTAAATTTCTATTTCAATTAATAAGCAACCAAAATGGAAGCCTATCAACTAAAAATGTTTCGTGGTATCAAAAATTCGTTAAAATAATACAATCTTATGGAATTTCTACTTTATTACTCAATTCAACCGAAGACAACTGTAAACACGCATACTCCTTAATGATGAATTCTGCTTTATCTCAATCTGTTATCAAGGATCAAGATTCCATTTTAAATTCGACATATCACTATTGGTATCAAAATATGTTACATTTTCCATCAAGTTCGAATATTATTACAACAAATACTAATTTAAATATTAAGCGCACGCTGATTCAGATACGTCTTAATTACAATTCGTTACTGATTGGCAATGTATATATTGATTTTTCCAAGAAATGCTACTGGTGCAAGTCTGAATCTTTTAATATTTACCATATTCTTATTGAGTGTCCAAAGATTGAAGAAGCGCAATGTAAATTTAAATTAAAAGAAATTTTTGATTTAAGTCAAGAAGAAAATTTCAGAACTAATCTAGAAAAAATTCCGTTATGTAAAATGTATAATATTCATAACTTTTTTGTTCATATTTTAAAAATTTTGAAATATGATGTTGTAAATTGAATGATTAATATGTTATGTTTATCAAAAATTATGTAACCAAATATTTAAAAAATGTTTAAATAAGTATTAATTATCTTTTTGTAAATCTCTAATGCTAACCCCCTGTAACAAGATTTTTTCTTACTACAATAAAGCATTTGTATATAAAAAAAAAATAATAATTTAAATTTTGATTTAATTTTTTTTCTAAGTCAATATTTATTTAAAAACTGCAGCTAAGTATAAGCTTATTATAAAATTTTAAATCTAACTTTTATTTAATATTTTTTCCAATTTTGTACTTATTTATTTATCGCTTTTAA